TTCCTGGCAGGCTAGATCATGCAGCTACAAGCTTTAGTGTCTCAGTAAATCAGACACTTGCTATATTTCATACTCTCATTAAAATATCTTTATAAAATATAGGTAGGGACCCTGCCCTAAGAAGTAGTGTCCTTAGTCTATATTTACTGCTGCTGGATCAGCCTGAGCTCTAATTGATAGTTCTGATTTCCTCAGGTCTTCCCTAATCTCAGTGCTATTGTTTGTTTCTGATTGGTAGTGGGGAGTGTCTCTAACAATAGTGTGAGAAGATCCAATAAATATAAATATCTCTGTCTCCCAGCCAACCACTATTAAGTTTATTGCCAATGGTGCATGCTCGGGGGGGATATAAATATTTTGGGAACCTTCTGGATTTTGTCTAGCCTCACAGACTTTGCCTTGGGAGGAAGTGTGTAAAGCTGTTCTCTAACCTCACAGGCCTGCTGTCTGGAGGATACATGTACTTTGAGAAGAAAGGCCTTGGTCTGGGGCCTAAAGAGCTTGCAATGGAGGGTATATCATAGAGAGTTGAAGCTGAGGATTGTGGATGTGTTTTTATGTGTGCACGTGCACGTGTGTGGCAAAGAAGCAGATTAACACCTATAGCCGTGCTAATAAAAGTCCATGTAAGCAACCAAGTAGATCCCTGGGGGATCACCTAGGGTTGCCACATGTTGGGGATTCACTCGAACAGTCTGGGTTTGGAATCTTGTGTCCGGGTGTCGGACCAGCTGATACCCGAACTCAAGATGTCATAATTTCAGGCAGACAGGGGCAACCTCAGATCAAGATCTGTATGGGACATGCCAATCACCCTGGCTTGACTGTTTCTGTCTGTCCCCAATATGAACCTTGACCTGATTAACCTTTTCCCCATTCCCCTCTCTGCTCTGACCAGTCTTTGTACCCTGACCTTCCTTCCCATCCATACTCCTATGTACCTCCATCTACCTTCTCCTCCATACCTCCTTGTACCCACCTGCCTTTCCCTCCATACCCCTCTGTACACTGACCTGCTTTCCCGCCCATACTCATCTGTACCCTGACCCTGGAGGGGTATGGAGAAGTCCAGGTTTTGAGTCCTGTATGCGCTGTGTCTGTGTTTCAGGCCAGATGAAAACCGGACACAAGATATCACAATGTCAGAATGGCAGGGCCAACCCGGGGTCCTGGTGGTCCAGCTGCGAGCTGCAGAGAACCAGCACTGGATCAGGGAGGTGATGAGTTTAACACAGTGGGGTACTGTGAATTATTTCCTGTATATTCTCCCAAAAACAGTTGTCACGCAGCACTAGACTGTCTGCCTGAAAGAACCTCATGCACCTTTTCCAGCGTTCAGCATTTTTACAGCTTGCTGCTAAACTCTCAGATGTGAACAGGAGCCATAGAAATGAATAGTAATTCTTGTGTTGTGTGTTTTGCCGCTTAAGCTTTCAGCGTCAAAACGCCCAGGTGTGAACAGGGACTTACATGAGTTTCTGGTGCACTGCCAAAATTGCTACATGCAATATTTTTGGTGCATTTCGGTGTGTTCAGTGGCTTATTAAAATAAGTGGACTGCCTTAATGCAACGCTAATGCACTGCAATAGTGTAAATCGACCTAAAGGCATTTTCAAGTGACTTTCTTCTGTTTTGCAATCAGTTTTTCAGTAGATGTTCTGATCCATCAAACACATTTTATATGATATAAGACCATCAAATGAGGATGTCTGCCCTGACTGATCCCTGTTGCCTAGACTGACAAGTTGAGTCATATTACCTTTTAATAAGTGTATTCTGAACTGTAGTGCCAAGAGGTTTAACTTTGATATTGTGTTATAGGCACTAGTGGGCAGCTTGTTGCTATGAGTGTTTATGAGTAATTGATGAGTAATAATGAGGAATTGTTATGGGTGAAGCCCTGATATTGCTGATCTACGCACTCTCCCACGGATAAATGTGCAGTTGAAAAATATCATTTATTCTAGACAATGTTTAATGCTGACATGGGAAGATTTGTAAGACAGTATTTGGTGTATTGCCATCAAAAGCACAATTTGTACCCAAATCCAAAATTAATCATTATAGAAAATAAATAAATTTGTGTTTTTTAAACATATTTTAAGATTATTTAGTAAAAAACTCTATCTACAAATTATTCCTCCTTACCCCAAAAACTTTTGCTCCATTCAGACATATGTGTTGTCTAAACCCAGCATGCTTTAACACACAACATACTGCACATTAACATGTTCATGTTAACATATTCCACTGGAACAGAATAATGTAAGGGGTGGCCTTAGTGTGAAAATAAAATAATCGGTACAACAGTTCAAGTTATTTATTGTGCATTAACTGAGTTTTTCAGTGAACAGCTTCTGTACCTCCATGTATCTTAAAGGAGAACTATGAGATGAGTGATTTCCACTCACCTCATAGTTCTAGCCGACCTGTGACAATGAGACTGTCACAGGTCGGCTCAGTAGATCGGGAGGTGAGCGAACACATACCAGGTTCGCTCACCTCTCGATCCTGTCGAGCATTGAAAACCCCGACTGTCTGGGTGAATCCCAGACAGATGGCAAGCTTACTCACATGACATGGCAGATATGGAGGGGGCCCAGTGACAGGCTTTTTGTTAATAGTGGAACCTAGGCCCAAACTCTAGCAACACATTTTCAAGTGCCTTTGGTTGGTATAACAAACAGCACAATCAGCAAGACAGTCAGCATTCAGCAGGTTGTGGTTTAAAACCATGACATCGTTTTCTAATGGACAGTATTAATGCACATTGCAGCAATGAACACCACAATCAAATGATGGGTACCCAAAAAGAGTCCTGTCCTACAGTGTGCATCCTTGGTAGAGCCTTTTTCCATTTGTGGCACAGATCAATCATGTTGTACTTTTGTTTAACTTCCATGTTACTGCTTTCATGTTAAGTTTGTTACTATAAAGGGATTTTTCCATTTTACAATAAAAGTGAAGTTACGATAGGGCTCTCTCTATGTAGCAGAAATGGAGTAGTTCCCATCCCTTACATCTCTGCCATCTCCATCACCCACAGCAGCTGCTAGGATTCATGATGATCTGCCATGCTGCAGGAGAAATCTGAGGCTGCATCCAATAAGTAGCTATATAAATGGCAGTTCCACAGATTGCCTGCATCCAACAGGCTGATATAAACAACTTCAGGATGAGAATTTTGACCTGCTTAGAATCCATTCATCCATGGGCTTCTATCCGTTTGTGCCATTATTCATTTTCTTTTCATCAGTTTGATATTTTAATGTTTCATTAGCCCTATTGCAATGCAGTGTGGTATATTCTGACTAAAAGCAGTTCAACAAGCAGTGTGAGCATATAATTAAAGAGTATGTATGGACAATTTTTTTTTAGCTTTGGGTAGAGTAGGGAAGGATTAAACCTCATGTCAGTATTTTTGCTGTGTTCGCTGGGGAGATTACCTTCCTGCCCTAAAGACACAACAGGACATGAGAGGAAATTTCTAGAAAATTAGAACTATTTCCCTCTTAGACACTTGTCACCCGAGCCAGCATTCCCATTAAAAGATTACCCATACCTCCTGTTCTGGTGACTCAAAATTTTGGATTTGCCCCAGTTTCTGCAGTGGTTTAGTGGTAGTGGTCACCAGGACAATTACCTGGTTCTAATCCCTCCCTACTCTATTCAAAACTAAAAGTGTTGGCTATACATACATAAAAAAAATCCAGCATTTTAATGTCACTCTAAGGGCACTCACCACACGGTGTTGGCTATAACCTATGAGAGCCAAAAACATCCTCTGATCCCATTGTTTTGAACGCTGTTCACATTGGACAGCAGCACAACAAGTGTGCGGGGTTAGGCCTTGAAATCAGGGAAGTCAAGTGCTTAGTAACAAAGTGACATCAGAATTAGGAAGGGGGGAGGGGGGCAAGAGTGGCTTTCTATTTCATAGGGTATGCCTTTAGGTGAGACTTTCTAAGGGGGAAAGGTTAACTTTTTAAACTGAGTGTTCAGAATCAAGAGTCCACTCTTCATTTGAGGTGGAAACCCCTTTTAAACACACCATAAAAATACCTTTGGGTATATATTTTATATAATTTAAAATATTTTCAGACTTTCCAAAATGGCATCTGACAAACCAGCTAGATCATTGTCAATTCTAATCTGTTTTGAGTGGTTTATGGTTATTCTTATCCTAAATCTGAAAATGTTTTCCAGCACAAACTATTGAAACACAATTAAGAATTATAGAAATGCAGTCTACGTCCTTGTTCACAATGCATGTTATGTATCTCAAATGTTGTATTATTTATAATAATTTAGATTGTTTAATTCCAAAGATACCCCTACACCTTTTGTGTTTTAATCACAGTGTAATTTGCATGTTAATGTGCTGGCACAGAGGAAAGTATTTGGATGACATAGTAAGGTGGAACATGAATATAATTTATGCTTGTTCTGCACATTGATTACAGAAGAAGAAAAATAGTAGCCTGGAGCCCTTTTCTAGGATATGTTCACTAATTTAGTAGATAAAAGGATTTCATAACCCCAGAGTCATGAAGTGAAGTAATATCTCATACCATAGTTTTTTTTTTTTGCTCTTCATTGAGAGGTGTGTCTAAATTTATCAATCCACTAAACAGCTAAATAAATGTTGTGCTGCCAGGCATGCCAAAGTTGCCAAGCCCAAGATTACAGTTAATTGATCTTCTGGTTCCCAAGGCAGCCAAGCCCACTTATTAAATGATATAAAAGGTGTCAGAAAAACATTTTGGTTCAGAGGGGCTCAGATTTCTTCCCTCTGTGTTGCTTCTGTGGTTTAGCTAATTTCTTCCATTATCTGCGTTTCTACGTTTGCTAAAATGAAGAGGGTCAGTAGGTCTGTAACAGGCAGCAAGAGCTTTTCTTCTGCCTCACTGGGGGGTGGTGGTGCTGGAGGTGGTGGTCTTGGTGGGGGTGGTGGTGGCATGAGGACCAGCTTCAGCTCATATTCTGTTTTTAAAGGTGCAGGTGGTGGTGGTGGTGGTGGTGGTGGTGGTGGTGGGGGGGGTGGAGGTTTTTGTGGTGTTTCACGCTCTGGAGGTGGTGGTGGTGGTATGACTTCCAGAAGCTTATATCATAGCCTTGGAGGGTCTAGGAAAATAGCAGTGATCCCTGGTAACCGCACAAGTGTTGGTGGCTATGGGTTTGGTGGTGGAGGAGGAGGTGGAGGACTAGGAGCAGGTTTTGGTGGAGGAGCAGGTGGAGGATTTGGTGGAGGAGCAGGTTCAGGATATGGAGGTGGAATGGGAGCTGGTGGAGCATTTGGAGGTGGGGGAGGATATGGTGGACCTGGAGGATATGGTGGAGGAGGCTTTCCTGATGGTGGCCCAGATTTTCCTGTATGCCCACCTGGTGGAATCCAACAAGTAACTATTAACCAGAGCCTTCTATCGCCACTTAACCTGGAAATCGACCCAAGTATTCAAAAAGTCAAAACAGAAGAAAGGGAGCAGATAAAGACCCTCAACAACAAGTTTGCATCTTTTATTGATAAGGTAATAAATGCACATAAAAAGTATTGCTCATAACCCTTACTTGCGTTCTAGTTTGTATGACATTGGTACCTTTATCTGTATGTTGGTATTTTAGGTCAGGTTTTTGGAGCAGCAAAATCAGGTCCTCAAAACAAAGTGGAGCTTCCTGCAGGAGCATGGTCAAAAAGGTGGCACAAAAAGAAGCACCCTTGAACCCCTTTTTGAAACATACATCAATAACCTTAGGCGACAGCTGGATTCAATAAACAATGACAGAGGCCGTCTGGAATCAGAACTGAGAAACATGCAGGACATGGTAGAAGATTTCAAAAACAAGTATGCTTTCTGTTTCAAAACTTTGTCTAATTTATCAGATTGAAACTCATGTTATAGCTCTATGTTTTGCATGTATTGCTTTATGTATGAACAGTGCTTTAAAATGCTAAAAATAACATACATTATTTAGCGACAAAGGCAACTGATGGTATAATTCCCATTTTTCTCAACAAATAATCTTTAATTCTAAGGTCTTGGGTTTATTTTCATGGTGACAGTATGCTTTCATGAAGTGGATTCAAAATTGTATAAATATAGCGTGGTATATAGGCTATGTTATTATTTGAATATAAGTAATATAAGATCAATTTGGAGGATCTCAGTTTAAGAATACTAGCCACTGTCATAGTACATGAAGTTCTGCGTAAAAGGTTAATAACAGGTGACTTCTATCCCCCCTCTGCATATAACTGTGCAGGTAGAGCTTACTTACCCATATATGTGAACTGCACTTTGTTGGACCATCTGTTTTATGTGCTTAGACCATGGCTGCTGGAAACATTCAGCAGTGATGTCAATGATGCCCTGGAGGATGCATATGTAATAAATGTATCTTATTAAAAGATGAATAAAAACATGCAAAGGCTTGTTGATACAAATCTGAGATGATTTCTTAATTTATTTGCATTGGGTTCATATTTGTTAGACATGTAGCAGGCAATCTTTGTTTATTAACATGATGCAAAGAGCATTCTTAAAAGAACTTCTTGAAGTAACCCAAGAAATTCAATCAGAAATCATCTTTCATGACCACAGTAAGCTGTTATCATGAATTGATTTGGGACTGATGTTTAGATTGCTACCTAACCCGTAAGAAATGGACTTGATCCTTTTTTTTAAGTAGGATTCTTTACTGACAGAAGCCAAGCATAACTTCATCATTCTTTCACACAATAATATAAAATAAAAACCTTGAACTTTTTATTGTAAAGCAACTGAGATAGATGTTCACTAGGAAGTAACTGATGTGTCAGCTACAGTACATAAAGCTGATTTCATACATATGTCCTAGAAGTTAGGCCAGCACAGTGGACAATTTGTTGTTATCCATAGCAGTCAGTCAGATCTGAGTTTACGTTATTCAGATCAGATTTTACGTACTTTACACATATGATAAAATCTGCACCGGCTTATTAAAGTTTTGATTTGATTAAGGCTTGATATCTCAACCCATAATGAAACCAGTGGTTGTGTCACATTCGACAGAAATCAGTTGCCTTTATCTCATAAAGTAGCATGAACTGCATTAACAAATAAAGATTGAAGGCTGAATGCTACAGCAATAGTATCTTTGCTTTAGATATTATCTCATGTGTGTTAACAGAAGTGGTTGGAGAACGTTTATACTTATTTAAAGGAGAACTCCAGGGGTAATTTCTAGCCAGCACAGCAGGAGGCAAGTATAATGTGTTATTTACACTTATCTCCATGCTGCTCTTTTTGATATACAGCTCATCAAAAGTCAGGATGGGAGTGCAATAGTACCATTAGCTCAATGCATTTGGTCCATGGGCTCTCTGCTTCTGGTCACTGCTGTTTTCTAAATGGTACTAATCACTGAAATAGCAGCCCCATAGCCTTCTATTGCATGTCCTATTCTATTTAGCAAATAGCTGATACCAGAAGTAAAGAGCAGACAAACAGGAAGCAATGGGATAACAGTACCATGGCACCATGGTCACAGTTTTAGGAGCTCTGTATCTTGAGACCGACAGCACAGAGATAAGTTTACTTAACGTTTTATACTTACCTCCCACTTTTCACTGTTATTTTCAGATATAATTCCTGCAGCTCTCTTTTAAAAATGCTTATATATTACCAGTATCTAGCTGTGTAGACACCTTTTGTTGCCATTTTACTATTTCAAATTGTAAGGCCCCATTCAAACTCGTGAATGGAGTCAGTTGCATGAGTCTCACAAATTGCTCTGTGAGACTCATGTGAACAGTTGTGCCCAGAGCCATTTGCAGCTGTTCACTTGTAATGGGACATGCGGCTATTACCTATGGATGATCACCCCTGGACGCAAACAGTTTGCATCCATTGGTGACTGTACACAGTTTATCATCCACAGGTAATCATCTGCAGGTAATGGCAGCATTTCTGCCTACATGTGAATGGTCACGCATGGCTGCCGGCACTGTCATCTGTCATTACTTTGTACAGAACTTCCCACCGGCAGCTGTTCCCATGAGTTGTATGCAGTCAGCCTTATTGGCAACTGTGAATGGATCCTCATAGACATATTCACCCAGAATAATTTTCAAAACTTAGCACGTTTGTGTCTATTACAGGGGAACATGTATCTAAACCCAAAAACTAGAATGTAATATATTTTAGCTTACTGACTGCATTCATTTTCTTTTTTCAAGCTTGTTTCCTTTATTTTCACCTGGTGATTATGCCAGTAACGCACTTTCAGCCCTAAGATGACAACGCTCACATAAAATACTGTATCAGGACAACAGAAACAGGATAGAACTACAGGACCCCACCATTCTAATTTTCTCTATAACATAGAGGGTGTGGTTCTGTGGTTCTCAGGCATAGGTGAGAATATTGTAACTGATATCAGTCAGCATAGACAGAGAAAGCACAGGAAGTTATCAGCTCACAAGATTTGTACCAAGATCAACAAGTATTACTTACAAACAATTTGCAACTGTATATTTAATAAAATAAGAAGGTCCTTCTTGGTCTACTAAATATTGGTCCGAATAGGAAAAGTTGATTGTTAAGGTTTACATACACTTTAATAAGGCCTTTTCTTGCTTTTCAATCTATTTTGTACACTTCAACAATGTTATTCTTTCTGATAGATATGAAGATGAAATAAACAAACGCACGAGTGCAGAGAATGAATTTGTGGTATTGAAAAAGGTGAGTAGTGGAAAAGATTATTGAAGAGTAATACTGACACATGCTAATAATACTTTACATATTGTAGATGGTAATAGCAATGATACGGTCTATGTTATGTTGTAGAAAGAACCTTCCCAATGTTCTAATAAGTTGACTCTTCTATAGGATGTGGATGCTGCATATATGAACAAAGTGGAATTGGAGTGTAAAGCGGATCAATTGACTGATGAGATCAACTTCCTGAGGACACTTTATGAAGCGGTACAGTCATGCAGCCATGTTCCCCCTTAAACTTCTCAATGCTTTCTCTATAGAATACATGTCTCTATGATGATACATAGAGTATAGTTAGCTGCTGACCATTTTTATATAGAGGATCGCCTGCTCCTTAATCAGCTGACATAATGGCACACCCAATTTAGATATAAGCACCTGGAAATGATTACTGTGTTCTAACAGAGCTTATTTGAAAGATGTATTTATAACAGGGCCATCCCTATAATGAGGCAGCCTCAGGCGACTTCTTGTAGGGGAGGGGGGCACCAGGCACAGTGGCATGTTTGCAGTGTGCCTGCCACCCTCTAGAGCATCCAAGGTTGCTATGAGCTGGGCGGGGAGATGTGTAAGGGTCATACACATCTCTCCATTCAGCAATTAGCAACCTGGAACCAAGTTCCTGGCAACCAGTGACTTGATTTTTCTCTTCTGCCTTTATGTAACACTTACCAGTCTTGTCCCCTCCCCATTCAGGGGACAGTCAAAGGAAAAGCAGCAGACTGATGAGGTCATACATGTCACTCTGCTCTCTCCCCTCTCCCTCTCTCCCTCCTGTTATCACAGGAACACTGCACTGCAGCTGACTATCTCCTTGTGCTGCTTCACCCTCTCCCAGTCTGAGCCCTGATATTGTACCTGCCAACAGATTTGTAAGTTCTGCCCATCTAATGACTGCCCTTCAAACTACACTGCAGTTGATCAATGATACCTTGTTTAGGACCCGCGCCAGCCTGTGGCTGAATGGTGAATGAAAAGCAGCTTATTAATGAGGTGATAGTTTTGCTCTCACCTCTTGTCAGAAAGCTGTCTGTGTTGGACTGAGAGCATTGCAAGTCATTAGAACTTGTTTGGCTTACAGTGGTAACCCTGCCTCCCCTGCTCTATAGGGCATTAGACGAGGCAATGTATGCAATAATGGATTCAGCTTCAATTTGTTTGTGTCACACATTTTAGTAATCCCTTGAACATTTTTTAACACTTTTTATTCAGCTCTCTGTATAACATCAAAAAGCTGGTTCCAAAAGACCTTACTGTGCCAGTCGCTGTGATTGCAGGTCTGAACAGGGAGCATATAGATAATATTGCCCAGCAGCTGTTGCATACTGTAATTCAAGGTGGGGAAGTATCTCCGCTCAGGGTCACCATCCAAACAGATATTATTAGTAAGGGCCTGGTTCAAATCCCCCTCCCCTGCCGAGTCCACCCCTGCTTTACAGCTATAGGGTCAGCATGGAACATTTTCAAAATAGATTTTTAACATTACACACCCAATAAAAGCTATATTTTAATATGTTTCCATCTATAAGCATTGATATAAATACATATATAAATATACTTGTGCTGTTTGAGGTTTGTAATGTGATTATTTACTAAAGTTCCATGCACTCTTGTCTATAAATTACAGGAAATGAATGAAGTTCAAGGACAGATTGCGGATACCTCGGTCATCTTGTCTATGGACAACAACAGAAGTCTGGATCTCCAAGGGATCATTAATGAGGTTAAATCTCAATATGATGAGATCGCCCAGAGGAGCAAATATGAGGCTGAAGCCGCTTACGCCATGAAGGTATTTAGGAAAAAACATGAAGACCAGAATAATTCCAGGAACAGTTTTATGGCAATATGAATGTCATTCATACTGGCATTATCTAAGGTGTAGGTGACTAATTCATGTTCACATCTTTCTGTAACATAGTGTTTGGTGGAAGGCCTTACTATAGAAAGGAAATTTCGTCCATTATGTGTGGCTGAATTTCCTTACAGTAGGCCACATGCAATGATATAGCTCAGTTTATATCCACAGATGTGGCAAAACACATTTTTTAATTACAGGTATTTATATAGCGCCGACAATTTACGCAGCATTTTACATAGTGCACATTCACATTAGTCCCTACCCACAAGGAGCTTACAATCTAAGGTCCCTATCTCACATGCATACATAGAGGGCCAACTTAGAGAGGAGCCAATTAATCTACCAGCAGAGCTGTCCCGAGGCTGGGTGACACCCGGAGCAGTAATCGAGTGTCACCCTGCTGAGACGTCATCGCACACGCGCGGCAGTATTCTGATACCTGCCGGCGGCCATCTTGGTGATGGACGCCGGCAGAGAGAAGAGGGGACAGTCACCCGGCAGGATAAGGTGTGCCGCCGGGACCCCTCCTCTCTCCTGATACTGTCGGGCGTTCGGTCCATGACCGAGCGCCCGACTTTTCAGAGGGGGGTGACACCAAAATGACTGTGAGTCATTTTGGTGTCACCCCTCCAATGGTGCCACCCGGGTGCGGGCCGCACCCCGCGTGCCCCCCTTGTGACGCCACTGTCTACCACCATGTCTTTTGGAGTCACATTGAGTAACACATTATAGTGAAGAAACAGGAAATTATAGTAGTTTAGCACATCAGTGATAATAGCAGTAGTATCTTGGGTGTAGGAGATTGGATGTGCTTTAGGTGGTACATTAGCTCTTTTTCCTGTAAGGCTAAAGGAGTAATGGGTTACTATTAATAGGAGCCTCTGGTCATATGACTGGCCTTGAGGAGATGTCTGAAGATACTAGCTCACAGCATGTACTGTACATAATAATTACAATGTTGTAGTAACAATGACTTATCTCCACAATGGGCCAACAACCATATCATTTCCCAGACTGAGGCAGTTGAGACAAATTTGCCAACTGTCCAGAAATGTATGGTCTTTCCATAAAGATGTAAGTAAGTAAAATAGTATTTAAACCCAAAACCAAAACTGTAATATATTGCAGCTTACCAGGCCTTAGATATAGCGGTTGCATTAGTTACTTTTATCTGAGTTTTTCCCTTTACTTTCAAATGGTAATCTTTCACATTACAAACTTCCTCCCCCTTTTGTGCATACACTCCTTTCTCCACTGTCTCTAGAGAAGTAGCCATGATTATCACCCAGGCTGGACCTCAAACATGTCTGCTTTTGTTCAACTCCATTACATAGTGAATTGATTTTACTAGCAGTTTACAGTAGGATTGTTTGTGCTTCCCTTCAGCTCTCAACTGACAAGGACAAGATCACTAAGTATTTTCTGTACTTGCAGAAAATGTTCCTAACTCGAAATATAAAAACATATGTAGTCACTACATGTAAGAATTACATTTTTGGGTATTTAGACATGCTTTAAATAATATTGTTCATAAAGTAAAAAATAAAATAAAATTAGTAGTCCTGAGCTAAAGACAATCCTGTGCAATTGTCAGTACTCTCATTTATAACAATATCATAAGGACCGGGTTAAATTAAACTTTGTGGTCCCACAACAATATATATTTAAGTTCCCTCTACTGTGTTGGAGAATAGAGAATCTGATTGGTCACTGATGGATAGAACCTGTTGTCTGAGTAAATTGTTCCTTGGACACTTTCCAAAACGATGGCCGTTGTTGTATGTGTGGACATTTTTGGGGATTGGTGGTGTATCTAAGTATATTTTGCACATGTTTTTTTTCAGTTTGAGCAGCTAAAACAAACTGCTGGGCAACATGGCAGTAACCTAAAATCCAGCAAGACTGAGATAGCTGAGCTGAACCGAGCAATCCAGAGACTAAAGGCTGAAATTGAAAGCGTTAAGAAACAGGTGAGCTATCACATAAATGACAAAGATGAGTCATTCATAGACCAGTAAAGTAAAGATTACCCCTTATGTTATAAAAAAGAAATATAAGAAAATTAATTGGCTGCTTTGGTTTTGCTAGTGTGCCAGTTTGCAGACAGCTATCTCAGAAGCTGAAGAGCGAGGTGAACTTGCTCTAAAAGATGCTCAAAAGAAGCTAAATGATCTCCAAGCTGCACTCAAAAAGTCAAAGGAAGATCTGGCGAAGCAGATGCGTGACTACCAAGAACTAATGAACGTGAAGCTATCCCTGGATATAGAAATCGCCACCTACAGAACACTGCTGGAAGGAGAGGAGTGCAGGTGAGTTCTGGTAATGCTTAGGCAGAAACAAACCTCCGAAGGTTTAAACAAATTGGAGAATTCCCTACTGCAGTGACAGTTAGTCGTAAGTTGTTGTGAGTCAGACAAACATGGGCTGTTGATAAATATATTTTGATGCCACCCCCATTTAGGCACTGCTACCAGTAGTGAAACTGTATGAGTTTCAATATTTAGCGATTTATGATGATGGTACGGGTGTAGTCTTGGCTCACCACAAAACAAAGAAAACTTTGAAATACTTTAAAAAAAAACATTTTGTGTTTTAAAGAAGAATTAAACGCTCAAACTTTTTTTTTTCAATGATGAATCCAGATCAAACAAGTATACGTTGCCCAGCAAATTTTGCCTGAGCACTTACAGTCATCGTGTTTCTGAACCGCTGGCTCCACCTCTCTTAGCTCCATTCCCTGAACTTCCGGTCCAATACAAGATTACAAGGGACACAGCAGTCTCCAGAAGCCATCCATCTACTAGCTTGGAAGAGGGAGGGGCAGGGGGTTGGATTGCATTGCTGTGCCTGTGCGTTTTTGGAGACACACACAGATTACTATCACGCACAAGGGTGGCTCCATAGGGCCCTGCAAGGAAAAAGAGCCACCCTAAACAGGATGTCAGGGCCAGCTGATTCTGCAGGAAAATAAAATTTTTAAAGAACATGGGGCAGCATCTTTTGTAAGTGATTTCATCAGCATTTGAAATAGTGTAAAACCTTTTGACTTTATGTCACCTTAACGACAACACATGCTCTGGAAACCTATGTTTTAAATGTAATAAATTATTCAATGAAAATATATTGTGTTCCCATTTTATAGCTACAGATAACTACATTTCTTGTCACTCTTACATTGCAGGATGTCTGGAGAGATTGTGAATCCTGTTAATATCTGTAAGTACACGTAAATTGTTTTTTAAAAGTTTTGTTGTGGTGCAGAGCTAGAGAATATCTATTATAACATCAAATACCTCTCTCTCTGCAGCTGTGGTCAGTGGCTCCACTTCATACAATATTGGAGGAGGAGGTGGAGGAGGAGCAGGAGGATCAATGGCCATGGGAGGCGGCGGTGGAGGTGGATACGGAGCTAGTGGAGGAGGTGGATACGGAGCTGGTGGAGGAGGTGGATACGGAGCTGGTGGAGGAGGTGGATACGGAGGCGGTGGAGGAGGTGGATTTGGCACTGGCGGTGGATTTGGAGCTGGTGGTGTAGGATATGGAGCTGGAGGTGGAAGCTATGGAGCTGGAGGCGGTGGATATGGTGGAAGTGGAGGATATGGAGGAGGATCTTCAATGGGTGCTGGAGGCGGCGGAGGAGACTACTCTGGAGGTGGCAGCTTCAGCAGTGGAAGCAGACAAGGCATGACCTTCGTCTCGAAAACATCTACTGCGTCAAGCAGAACAAGCTACTAAACACAGCTTAAGCCAAACATCTTCAACACATATTCCTTTCCTGTCTGCTAATATAGCTCAAACTCTTCCATTGCTCATCACCCTGAAACTACAGATCTAGTCAATGATAGTGGTAACTGCAATATACAATTCAAAAATGCTTTCCAGGTTGTTGTGACACTGAGTAAAGATCTTCCATTATATTTGGGTTGCACAGTCCTTCTCCCACCATCACTGTAAACCTAGAACTAATCATTCATCTGACCACCTGTCAGGGTTCATATACCAATGCTATATGAAAATACAGACATTAACACAAAAAAAGAAGCACAGCTGGACCCATGTATGCATATTTTGCCCAAAGGGAGGGAGCAATACAGAATAACAAATATGTCACCCTGCTGCATAGTTTGTAGAAGAATTTAAATCATTAGTTTACTACATGCCTACAATACTTCAGAGCAAAAACAGGTGGTGTGTATTTTCCCTGCCCAGTCTGGTAAAACAGTTGAAAGAGCAAATCTGCCACACCTCCTTCAGTATGAATTAATGTAATCAGGGGATAATAATCTACTTTCATGAGTCAAAACAAGTAAATAAAATATAGTTTATTATCTGTAATGATCTGCAAAGGAGCATCTGCATTAGCAAAACACACATGAAGGTTGTTTGCAGTCACAAGTAATTTTAATCTTTGGTTAAGTTATAATCATACCATTGATGCATGAATAATATTCCCCATATTCTGATGTATATATAAAACACATTCATATGGAGATTTGTATTTTAGGGATGAAAACTCTTGAACTGTACTTTTCTGTGATCATGTCCATGCTGTAGCTTCCTATTTCTCTAACAAGTTTTGTAAAACCTAGAGCAAGCCTTGTTTGGTGATAGCTAATTGACTATATTCCAAATGGTAAAGAGTATCAATAAATATTGCATGTCTTTTTACATGTGTGTAATGAAAGTGATGCTTATACCACTGTACAATTTAGAGAAAATTATGCTCAGTCTGGAAAGAATTGTTATTCCTTTTGGACATTGTTTAAACTTCTGAGCTACCTGTGCTGTTGTCTAATAAACTGCATGTTAACTCAAATTCAGTAGTTTTTTTTTAATTTCAGCTGTTTTTACCTTATATTTGTATTCCTGTCTAAGAATAGAAAAATGCAACATGTATATTACCTAGCCTGTGGTGTGAGGGAAGGTTGGTTTATAACAAAAAAGGGAATACTAGCACCAAATGGTTTTATGAATAAAAAATGGGTGTCAGTCACGGCTTTAAGATAAGAAACACTAAGGGGTCTATTCACGAAGCTGCCGAGGGCAGCCGAGTGAATGACCGATCTGAAGTGAAGTGAGCCGAACACTGTTCGGCTATCCACAACCTTCCTTTCGCAACTTTAAGTCTAGATGTTTGCAGAAGTCACATAGCCCATGGCCCTGGGAGGCAAAATGTCAAATGATTTGTTACTTCAGCACATTTTTTTTCTGTATAGGTGCAAGTTTAACATAAAACATATTTTCCTTTAAAGTGATGCTAAACTCAGGAGTTAATACTTAAAAATGCATTCCAGTACCCTAACTATTAACATAAATGTATCTTATTTGTGTATCACTCAGCTGTAGATCCTCAAATCATCTCTGAATTGGTGCTGACACTGTCCTTCTTTCTGGAGGGTGGATACTTTTGTTCCTCATGGTCCCTGAGTGTGTTGTAAAGCTCCAAGCTTTACAACACACACAGCGAGCTCCAAGCTCACTCTTGTGATGGACTACAATCTCACATTTACTTTATTAATTTGTATTGAGATTGTAGTCTATCATGGGAGCGAGCTTGGAGCAGTGGCTACTTTACAGGTTCTACACAATGCACATACATGCCACATTAAACTGTATAAACCATCAATCCTAAAGGAACAGAAAACTTAGTTGATCCTTGTGGCACCAGCACTTCCTTAGACCTCTTACATTTATTTTCTTCAGCATTAATGGTATTGTGAATAGTGAATGACATAATGAATAGCATTGGCTGCACCTGCACTGCCTCGGCACAGCCCAAACAAACCCTCACAGCAGCCATTCATTAGCTCTTCATTTTGAGGGTAATTTATCAAAACTGGCACAGAAAGAGTCTGGAGCAGTTGCCCATAATAACCAATCAGCGTCTATCATTCATTTTAAAAGCTTAACTGAACACATTTTAGAGGGAAGCTGATTGGCTACTATGGACAACTGCTCCAGATCCTGTCTGTTCCAGTTTTGATAAATTCTCCCCTATGTCTATTTCAAGTGGACACCACTTGTCCCTTCAGATACAGCCACATTTCTGTCATCTCCATTCCTTCTTTCCCTCCCACCATCACTACTCTTCAGTGCACATTAGCCTTTTTCTTATCACATGCTCTAGCTGCTCACTCTTTTCCAGCCAGGGTGCCATGGTTAAAATGTTTTGCGTGGTGCAGGCAGGCCTCTGATATGAAAGGGCTCATGATTAGGGATGAGCTCAGGTTCAGACTGCAACCAGTCTGTACCTGAGCTCCTCTGAACCTGGAAGGAATTCCTCCTGAACATGGACGGAAGCTTCGCTCCCCCCACAGCTCGATGTAAGCAGATGGTTGGGATGCAGTGATGTCATTGAGCTTATATGGCTACATGCCTATATTTGGTAAATTACATTTACCTTATATGGCTATGTAGCCATATAAGGCAAATTACATCAGCACACGTATCCCGTCCCTTTGTTTATATGCAACAGCAGGACTGGGATAGCAGCCCGCAGCTCATTGGGTCAAAATTCACATGACACTTCCTTGTTCGGAGGTTCAAAATGTTTTCGGTCCAAACCTGAGCTAATCCCTACTTCTGATGTGAAGGGGGAACTCTGATGTGAAAGGGGGAATCTGATGTAAAGGGGGGACTCTGATGTGAAAGGATGGGGCTTCTAATGTGAAGGGGGGTCTCCTGATGTGAAGAGGGGTCCCCCGATGTGAAGGGGGGCTTCTAATGTGAATGGGGGGTTCTGATGTGAAGGGTGACTTCTAATGTGAATGGGGGTTTGTGATGTGAAGGGGGGCTATGATGTAAAAGCAGGGAGCTCTGATGTAAAGGGGGGCTTCACAGGATGACCAGAAACACCAAACTGTGCGAATGACACCCAGGGGATAGAACAGTACTGTCAACCATTGGGTGTTCTACAGTAGTTTGGCAAAGGTTATGCGAAGCTTCAAAAAATCAAGCTAGTGCAGTATTCAGGTATAGTATTGCCATCTAAAAAAAAAGTCCTTTCACCTTTTGGAGATGGTTATTTGCCATGTCATTTAGACACGTCTAAGTAAAACACTTTTCATAGTTAGAAAACCTTGCATAGCTACCACACCTGTTGCAGGAATTTCTAAAAATGTTTGTCATTGTTGCCCCAGAGTGTGTCCTTTGTGTTTGATGGATCACATATAATTTTAAGCATTAGCTCAAATTGCAAATGCAAGCTGTCGGGCTTATAGATGTGCAAGAAGCCAGTCACAAAGTGCAGCATTAATGGCAATCCGTAAGAATACATCTTGTACTGGCGTAGCTTCATTTGAGTTGGACTCTAATCAACCTGAAATTGCCCTTTTTATACAACTCAGCTCTCAACATTTATTCATATTCCACAAATCCTATTATAATAAAATAAGTAAGGGTGCACGGATACCAGTTCATATACCAGTGCCGATACTTGGCATTTTCAGGAGAACTACCAGGGTCGCAGAAGTTGCAGCTGCGACTGGGCCCTGGTGCTCCACCACTGTCCATAAATCATTAGTCTGTATTGTTTTAGAAAAACTGTCACATGACAATAAAGAAAAAACTATCAGTGATTGAATTTGTGAGCGCTTGGACAAGTATCGGTACTTGTACTTAGTCTGGAAAAAATGGTATCGGTGCATTCCTAATTATATATATATATATATATATATACACACACATACATACTGTATATACACACACATCTGTCTACCAACATGCAGGATGATCTCCAATACACACCTTGATGCGACCCCCCAAAAATGTAATACCCAACCTGTGCATGCCCCTCAGGTGCGTGTTTATTCGCAGGCAGATGGTGGGGGCAGCGGGGGTCGGTTTTATTCATTTTTAAAAAATTATTTTTATATATTTTATTGTTTCTCACCATCCTAAATGAATTTGCCATTGTCCTGGGTCCCCCAGAGGACCGAACACCAGGCTGCTACAAGTGATGTCTTAATAAAGTTTGACAAAAGTATACTGTTTCTCTAATGCCAGTTTTTTTATTGTTAGATTCTTCTTACAGCAAAATAAAGTCTTGAGACGAAATGGAAAGAAGTAACATTGACCCTAATTTCCAAGCCCATACAAAAAATCTGAAGAAGCAACTAAATACTTTGGAAAGTTATATGCCAAAATGAATAGTTAAACCTAGAATAGTTTTTTTGTTTTTTACCTTTTCATCTGTGCATTAGACCAAAAAGAGGGACAACTAACGAGCAAAGAAGGATTTGGTGCGAATCCAAATGAGGGACAGTGCCTCTAAATTAGAGACTGTTGAGATGCATGGTTATCTCTATGACACTTTCACAATAGATGCACTAAATAGATATTGGAATGTCTGAAGACACAAGCCTAATTGGTAGTGCTCATTCTTGTTTTGGAGTAATAAGCCGCTTCTGTGTGGGGCATTCCTGACTCTTGAAGTCAGGAATGCCCCACATCCAAATGGCCATTGAAAGACTTGAACTGAAGATACAGTTATTTGAGGGTCTCATGAGTAGGTATGCATTATCTTTATAGCCCCCCCTACAAAATGTGTGTTTGCTATCACTTTGAATAGCTAAAACTGTTGTAGATCTGGCCACCTAGAGCTTCCTGCTGCAATTTGCCTGTGTATGGCCATATTTACTGCACACCCCTGAAATAAACCCTTTATGTGACATACTTAAGCTGGCCACTCACTATGCACATTTTGGAAAATCTGTGAATGAACCGAGCCGGCAGCCAATGAACTCTGTCCAGATAATATAATACAATACAATGAAGACAGTGGAAGATTCTTCGATCAATATTTTATTTTATATGTTATGTTTTATATGTTATATTACAGTGGATAGCCAGCTTTAGTCTGGCAGGACTTTCATAGTGGAACATCTGTTAAACATTATTAACATACAGTCATTATTGACTGAAAGAATTGAAGAAAATGTCATTTGTTCTTCAAAAAATGTTTTATTTGTTTAATTTCTTATGAAAAATACAGTTATATAACTTTACAACACAGACAACCTGTAAGCCTTCAAGCAAAACAACATTTTTTCCTCTAAGTATGTTTAACAGGTTGACAACAAGAAACTGCTTCAGGGCATGGCGGGGACACAAATGTAAACTGATCACCTTAAAAAATGGCCAAGCCCATTATCTTATGAAGATAAAAGCATAAGAGTAGTAAAGTTAGTGCACTTGTTCACTTATTGAATTTGCCCACAGTCCATCTCCTGCTGTACCGCTGCAACCATGAGCTATAACACTCGTTTCTCATCCTCTAATGCAGCATCCTCCAGAGGATTTAGCTCATCCTCTATGGGAGGAGGTGGCGGCAGGACCATCAGCTCATCCTCTCAATTTGGTGGTGGAGGTCTTCGCTCTGCACCAAGTGCAGGATTTGGCAGTAGAAGCCTCCTGAACGTGGGTGGCGGCAGAAAAGTTTCCTCCATTAGTAGTTCTCGGGATTCTGGTTTTGGTGGTGGTTATGGTGGTGGTAGTGGTTTTGGTGGTGGTAGTGGTTTCGGTGGTGGCTATGGAGGTGGTTCTGGGCCTGCCCCTCCATCTATTGTAAACGTCACTGTTAACAGACAACTCCTGACTCCACTCTCCTTTGAAATTGATCCAAATGTTTCTGTAGTCAAGAAGGAAGAAAGGGAACAGATTAAGACCCTAAACAACAAGTTTGCCTCTTTCATAGACAAGGTAAGGTGTTATGTTTCTGATTCCTGTTTTGTTTTTATTATATTGATATCCTTGTTATTGTTATTCCAAATTCCTACTGTTCAAACTTGCACTGAAATGCAAATTCCAAGTACATCATTAGAGTCTAATTTAATAACATGATGCAAAGCAAAGTTGTTTCTAGTATCTCATAGCAACCAATCAGAAATTAGTTGTAATTAGGCTAAGGCAGTTAATCAATGACAAATGATCTTTAAATGGCTATTATGAGGCACTGCATATCAATGCTTTTAGTATATTCTTGTTTTAAAAAATCTCTGTGATAAACTTACTCAGATAAGCAATGCAAAGGATAAAATATAGCTCAGCAACAAATCAGAACTTATCAGCTACTGTATAAGCTTTTCTATGTTCAGAATACTTTTATATGATCTAATTGCAAAACTCAGATCGATTTGTTTGCTATGAGTTACTGCACTTTGTATATCACGGTTACTCTTTGCAATTTCATACTGATTAAGCCTGTTAATGTGTCACAATTATGTAATGATGATGAAAACCATGAAGCAGATTCAAGATCACTGGTGTCATATCAGTGAAAGATGGATACTGGTAGGCTCCTATTGGACAGTGCACTTTGCTCTTTGCATTTCTAAATGCCTTTAGTTATGTATAAATGTTTTAATATCTGCAATCAGTGGGTGTTGACTGCTGTTGGAGTGTACATTTCCTGTAATACAACAATGTTCTATAAATATAACTTAGCTTAAATGGTATGTCTTAATCAAAGCTCGGCAAAAGTATAATATGTTTCTCTACTGCCAATTTTTTTATTAGGTTAGATTTCTCGAGCAGCAAAATAAAGTGCTTGAGACGAAATGGAGCCTGCTGCAACAACAGGGTGGTGGACAGTCTGGTCAAAGAAGTAACATTGAACCTCTTTTCCAAGCCTATATCAACAATCTGAAGAAGCAACTAGATGCTCTTGGAAGTGATAAAGGTCGCTTGGAGTCAGAGCTTCGTAATGAGCAAGATCGTGTTGAGGAATTTAAGCGCAGGTACACACCTATAATTTAGGCTCTGGTCAAAGTTATAGTAAACAAGGATAAATGTATCTGTACACACTATAAACATATACAGAAAAACATATGCAGTAATGTATAGGCTCTTTAGGACAGGGATATCCAAACTCTGGCCTTCCAGCTGTGCTGAAACTAAAAATCCCATCATGCATCTGCCTCTTGGAGTCATGCTTGTGGCTGTTAGAGTCTTGCAATGCCTCATGGGGCTTAAAGTTCCACAACAGCTGGAGGGCCGAAGTTTAGCTTATACCAAAAGACAGTGCTGAACAAATCAATACCGAATGTTGCCTGGTTATATTTGAGGCTGCATAATTTCAGATCAGAGCCTTTTACCAGGTAACTGCCCCTTCTCCCCTCACTCAGGAAACAATAATATTAATAACACCTAAATATCAACCGCTGTTTGATGAAGAGAGGTGTGTTTTATCTGCTGAGAAGCTGCCACATCAAAGAAAGCTGAGAACTGGTGCTGTTTCCAGAGTTTAAGGCTAGGTTCATATCTGAGCAATCCTGGGATGCGCGTCCCGGGACCACGCGATTGTGTTTAGGTGCACATAGTGATTGCTGCGTGGCCCCATTGATGTCAATAGGGTTACATCGGTGTGACAATCGCTAAAAAAAGGTACAAGTACCTTTTTTTGCAACACACGACGCACAGCTTTTTTAGTCGCGATTGTGTTCAATTGCACAGGCTGAATCACGACGGGAAACTGAACGATCTGCCCGGAGCGACTGGGGTGCCATTAGAAAATAATGGTGCCGCCAGCGTGATCGGCTGTGGTGCGCGACTCGGTGACCGGCAATCGTGCACAAAACCGCACGGTAAGGAATCGCCCAGATGTGAACTTAACCTAAAGGACCACTAATGTAACTTCAGATCTTATTAAAGGAGTACAAGCATTTGCATTACATTATCATAATGAACGTGTGTCTCTTTATAGGTACGAGGAGGAAATCAACCTGCGCACTTCAGCAGAGAATGATTTTGTAGTCCTCAAGAAGGTAAGATCGGTACCTGGCCTTCATATCTGTATGACAATTCTGAATGTCTTGCTATGAAAGGAATATAGAAGCTTGCCATGGGTATTATTTTTTTTTGTAATCACCATATAAAACAGTAAGGTCTATACATCAATTATTTTTAGAACTGGTTACACGCCAATAACAAATGCCTGAATGACTGTTACTGGATACACCTATTTTCTATCACCTTTTTCTAACCTAATCTCTGTATGTTGATATTTATAATTTTGTTAAATATATTTGTTCATGCTCCTCATTTAATACAGTTAAAATATGTTTAGGGCCCATTCACATTTCGAAAGTTCATGCATTAATGCGCGTTATGTAGCACATTTATGTGCTTTGTTTTAAGTCAACCTATTCACTATAAACAAGCTACCAATGCACCTCTAGGGGGCAAGTAATATGCATTCACCTTTTTTTTTCAACACATCACAGCTCACCACGAGGCACTTAATGCGTGTTGTGATGCACAGCTATGCATTGTTCAGTGGCAGTGCTTTGAATGAATATGAATAACAATAAATAGCACAGGAAAAAGCATAATGAGCCATGCGTTGACATGCGCTGCAATTTTTTGTGTGTTACAGCTCAAATGTGTGAATGGGCCCTGGAGGAAACATATCATGAGAAAAACATGAAGCTGCAATTGCTGGCTTCCTTCTAAAAGTGCTTGATGCCTGTCTGAGATGGTAACCTTGTTGCTTCATTACTTTAAATTACTGACTTGAAACAATTATGCAGATCTTAGTTTCCCACTTTCTCTGTCTAAGCCAGGGGCACCCACTATTTTTCGTCTGGAGATCTACTTTTCAAATGACGAGCTCATTGAGATCTACCAACGAAAAAACACCTGCATTCAGGGGCAGGAGGGGGCGTGGCGGTGCATTGAAGTCAATGGCACCGCAGCCAGGCTCCGCAGGCAGGCCCCTCGCCCACAGTGCGATCGCCTGCATTAGTGCTTGTGTTGCAGTCCAGTGCGATCCGCAAAAATGCTGCGAGCACTATTTTTGCAGATCGCACTGGACCGGAATGCAGACACTAATGTGCCTGCGTTCGAGTGCGGGCGATCGCAATGTGGGAGATGCCATTGACTTCAATACAGCTCCACACCCCCTCCCGCACCTGAACGCAGGGAGTCGGCCGGCTTTAAATTTAATTTTTTTTTTACTCTTGGGGGGCTTCGGGGAAATAGCAGGGGTCTAAAAAGCCCCCTGATATTTCCCTTGTAAAATAGAAAAAGAAATTGAGGACACATAGTCCTCAATCTTTTTTTCTGCAGCCTCTATAGCTGATCTGCATACTTATACTGGGTCAGTGATTCAAAGTGTAGAAGACAATGGTCAGCATGACAACCAGGCAACTAGCATTTTCCGAAGGAGGTTAGTAATGGCTATACCCATAATAACATATTAAAAAAATGTCTACCAACTAAATGGCATCTGTGGACCTTTGCATTTTATAAAAACTAGCTTTGTTAAATCTTAAAATGTCTGTATTTCCTGTTTCATTTTAAGATCAACTCATTTAACAATTTTCACTTTTCCAGGATGTTGATGCAGCTTACCTAAATAAGGTGGAGCTTGATGCCAAAGTGAATGCACTCAATGATGAAATTGCCTTCTTAAGAACTCTGTACGATCAGGTAATAACTAATCTGTAATGTACATTGTCTGTAGTTTATTTTCTATTTTTTTGTAGAGCTTTCTTCTGAAACCTTAGCCTAGGTCAATTAAAGTGCAATTCCAGCCTAAACTTTTGCATTTTCTCTCTTTTTATTGTGTCTCTGATCTCCCATGTTCCTGCACTGTGATAACTGGCTTTTTGCTAAAATTACAGGAGCTCAATGAGCTTAGACAACAGGTGTCTGACACCTCTGTCATCCTCTCTATGGACAACAACAGATCTCTCAACTTAGATGACATTATTGCTGAAGTCAAGGGTCAGTATGAGGAACTTGCCAACAAGAGTAGAGCTGAAGCAGAGGATACTTACAAGAACAAGGTGAGGACCTGCAATTACTTGCATAAACAAGCCCACAAGCCAGATTTCAGAGAGAATCAATTACTAGACTGCTTACTATTTGTTTTCTGTATTTATATAGCATCATTAAATAATGCAAAGCTTTACATAGGAGATGTATTAGGGGGGACCAGGCTCCCCAAAAGACAATAAAACACATCAACACTGGAGTCAGTTTGCTCACAAGCCATACAACTTATAAGTATGTTTTTGGATGTAAAACACCAAGGAGGAAGTTTTCAGAGAGAAAAAGTAGAGAACATGCAGTGGATGTGCGTATAAAGTATGTATACATATAAAGATCACCTTGTAGAAGATTCATTCTACTCATTCTCACCACTAAAAATAAATACATAGAATTACAGGTGGTGTTTGTCTGTGAAATTTTGGGCAAAAAGCCCTAAAAAATCTTTACAAATTGGTAAAATTATCTTGATAATAGACTGTTGTTTTTTTCACCTTTGCTATAATACATTGAAAATGAATAGGTAATTTCCAGCAGCAGCTTTATAAACAGATTACACGGTTGAAAACAATATATCTTGATTATTTATTTGATTTATTTATTTATTTATTATTTGATTGAATTAAATAATACTTGTGAACTCCACGGAGGTTCCTGGTAGGCTATGAAAATAGTAACAAGACTCCAGAGCTACAAGGCAAGAGTGCTAACCACTAAGCCACCACACTAACAGATCCAACACTTATTACTGTATTTACGGTGCACGTAACTTCTGGTTATTTGTGATTCTATCAAAAGTTCCAGCAGCTGCAGAGTGTAGCAGGGCAACAAGGAGATGAGCTGAAAAACCAGAAGAATGAGATTTCCCAACTTAATAGAGCTATCCAGAAACTTAAAGCTGAAATTGAGAATGTAAAGAAACAGGTAAGAATATTCTAATATACAATTAGAAAAAATAAATTGATACATTTACCTGTCTCCAAACATCACCTAAATCAGATGAGTATTTCTGTTATGAGCATGTGCAGTATGTTAAATAAATATTGTGCACATAACAGAGTTCTAAGGACATTCTTGATTCTAGTATGGTGAAGCTTTGGCTGACTATGAGCACACTTTAGCTGCTTCTTGGGAACGTGCTGTAGAGAATTATGTGAGCTCTACTTTAATTAGGTATCTGAGACTATTATGAGTCAAAAATGCAAATTACTATATATCTTTTTTTGTTAAAGAATTGATTGTGTTTTGATTTTTTTTGTCTAACTCCACCAATTGAGTGACACTGGGATTGATGAGAGACAGAGGATTGAACATGAAAACATTTTGGTAATTGGAAGAGGTTTAATGCCCGCATAGTGTTAAATTAGTAGTACTTTTTCACATAACAGATTAATCAGAGCAGTATTTAATACTTTATCACTAATATTACAAAGGTATTTCAAAAGTTAAAATTTAAAAGATAAAAATGAACTCAAAAGATAAAATTTATCTTAAGGGATTTTCCCAGAAAAAAATAGTTTATTTTCAGTGGTCTTATCTTAAAAACAGTTTGTTAGAAAACAAATCTGTCAGGAAAATGAAATTCCATAAAAATTGGTATTTACCTACAATTGCTATGTATTTATTAATATTTGGGTAAGTCATCTGCTCTACATGTTGCATGTGTTTAGATTGCAGCTCTTCAAATAGCCATTGCTGAAGCTGAACAAAGAGGAGAAAATGCTCTAAATGACGCTCGTGGCAAATTGGCAGAACTAGAGGCTGCTCTGCAGAGGCTGAAACAAGAGATGAATAGCCAATTGAGAGAATATCAGGAACTGATGAATGTGAAGCTGGCCTTGGATGTTGAGATTGCTACCTACAGGAAACTGCTAGAAGGAGAAGAAAGCAGGCAAGTTGCATTAAATCTTTTAGCTTAAATTCACTCTAAATTCATTTTATTGCAAATCCTCCTCCATAAAATTAGTGTGTCATCTGACATAAATGCATTTCATAAGCTAATTTTAAAGACAGACAGTAAACATACTTTACCGATAAAAGGTTTAATTGTTAGGGAAATAATGGGTTATTAATTATTACAATAAAGAGGGTGTCATTTTCCTCATTTGAGACTATATTGGCAGTTGCTTCAATGAATGTGGCTGAAAGGCTGTCACTGCTGGGAAAAATTATAACCTTTCTAACCACAGTATATTTTAGGATTAGGATTGTTAGGAACACTTAGGATTGTTATATCTTTGTTTTTTTAATCCCAACAAATGATGTCACTTTGCCAATAGCTGGATAAAAAAAGCACCACAGTGAGGGTAAGTGTGGGTTTATAAACAAAATGTTGAAGATGGGGAAGTCTGTCTAATATTGGCTCACAGTGAATCTTCATACCTATTAAATCCACACCTTCCTCATCTTCATCTCAAAAGAGCCATATAGAGCATTTACAGAGGATGTAAACACTGCCCAAATCATACCGCTAAATTGTTATATTTGGCATATTATCATTGGCCTGCTTCACAAGGAAATGTTTTAGAAAAATTATTTTCCTTTAAAAAATATAATGTAATGCTGATTTCAGCCAATATCATCCAACAAATATAATTTGGATAGAGTGTAATAGAATGTAATCAGTGTTCTAATTAGCCCTACTACCATGCATATGCTTTATTCAATTTCTCTATCTCTTTTACAACAGAATTTCAGGAGAAGTTAGCAACACAGTGAATGTTTGTAAGTATTCTTATTTCTCCTTAACACTGAAAAATTAATGATGGATGCAGTTATGTGTTTTAATTATCATTGGAGGCTCTTACTCACTCCTTGACAGCTGCAATGAGATCCATTGGCAGGCAGTCCCAGTCCCCTGGACTATTGTCTTTCAATTGCCATAATTATGAGCGAACTGAGCAATGTTCGGTTCTTTGGACATTTACTGAATCCCGCAGGAAGTCAGCAAACTCCCAATAGAGAGGCAAACTCCAGTGAGTCTATGGGAGATGAATCTTGTAATTTGTTCTGGCCTATATAAAGGCCTATTTTCAAGCTGCTGCTAAAAAAGGGTATGGGTAGTTATGGACAGCCATGGG